TTAATCATGCCACTTGGATCTTAAGAAGGCTTAGTCACTCTTAATTAAATCTCAATAATACACCTCATCCTTGCTAAATCAAGAGAGAAAAATGAGGACAAATGCACTACTTTCCCACTCAAATCACTTACGGCCATTATAAAAAAATTGGGAAAAACCGTACGGCATTAAGGCTTCACACATGATTAATTCTTTAATTAATCATGATTAAGTGCTTAATTACTTAATTAAGCATAATACCTAATTACCAAAATTATTTCGAACGTAAACCGGACGTCGAAAATAATTTTCGATAATCTTAACTGAAATGATTGAAATAATTAATTCCGAAAATAATACTCGAAACTATTATTATTTCGGAACTAAAAACATGACTGGATACTCCTGACTGAATAATTAATTCCGAACTCATTAATTAAGCTAATGAATCGGAATTAAATCTGAAAACTTATTCGGTTACTGAATTAATTAAACCGAATAACTTATCGACTAATAGTCGAACATAGAATATAACTGACTGATTAACCTGAACTTGAACATGAACATGATTATTTATTAATAAAGGCTAGCTTAAAACTAAAAGCTAGTATTTTCCTTTATTAATAAAATACGGGGCGTTACAAATCAGGCCGGGGTGTGGGGTGTAGGGTCTACTGTTTGATGATGACGATGCCATTTTCTGCAAACATTCATCACAAATTCTCAAAATTTACCCAACTACAAGTACTACTTCAAACAATTCATTAAAAATTCACAAACCATCACAAATTCACATAAAAATTCATTAATGCTAAGAACATCACCACTTAAAAATTCAACGTCTATTTCTAACATAATTTCGAATTCAAAGCCTTAATCAATTGTATGTAATATTATGGAGAAGGATTCAAGCCATTATTCCTCAAATATGTACAACAATCCATTTGAGGCATTTTATCGAACACCTACAAATCATAATTTTCTAAACAAACTACAAAACCCTAATCAATCTCTAAATAACCCATCAATGTATCACACAAACATATCAAACAACCATCAACATATTTCAATCATTAGAAATTCACAAATTAAATACCAAAACAAATGAAAAAATGGAAAAAATTTGTTAACCCTAACATCATGTTTTTGCTACAAAACACACCATATATACCTCAATTCATCACTAAAATCGAGAAATAGAACAAAAATGAAGAGAAATGATACCTTGGTTGATGAATTTGGTGATGAAATCCCTCTCCTCTTTCCTTCCTTCTCGCTCTCGCTCTCTTCTTTTTTTTTTCTTTCTCTGCTGCTCTCTCTCTTTCTCTGTTCTTTCTGAATCCGTTTTTTCTTATACATATTTAATGAAACACGGATTATGAGAATCCGTCTTTCTTTGATAAAAAAAAATGGTAGAGGCTCCCAGATTGAGGACTCGAACCCGGGTCAATGGGAGAGTCCGGTTTCTCTGGGCGCACCTCGTACCATTATGCCGGCAAACACTTTTCGATTATTTTTGTACAAATTATATACATATACATATAAATATACTATAGATTATAGAATAAATTGTAATTTATATAGTCTACTTAATTTATATTATATACTATATGTTATATTATATTGTCTACTATATGTTATATCATAGTATATAACAAATTATATTATGTAGTATATCATAGTATATATGAAGTCAATTATAGTATAATTGAACTTGAATTAGTCAAACTGAAGTCGAATTAGTCAAATTGAAGTCGAATTAGTCAAATTGAACTCGGATTAGTCAAATTGAAGTCGAATTAGTCAAATTGAAGTCAAATTAGTAAAATTGAAGTCAAATTAGTTCAATTGAAGTCAAACTAGTATAATTGAAGTCAAATTCGTACAATTGAAGTCAATTATAATATAATCAAACTCGAATTAGTTCAATTGAAGTCGAATTAGTAAAATTGAAGTGGAATTAGTCAAATTGAAGTCGAATTAGTCAAATTGAAGTCGAATTAGTACAATTGAAGTCGAATTAGTACAATCAAAGTCGAATATGGTGTGTTATATGATATGTTATAACATAGATGTTATATTATAACATATGTTATAATATATGTTATATACTATGATATGCTACATAATATAATATGTTATATACTATGATATAACATATAGTAGATAATATAATATAACATATAGTAGATAATATAATATAACATATAGTATATAATATAAATTAAATAGACTATATAAATTACAATTTATTCTATAATCGATAGTATATTTATATGTATATGTATATAATTTGTACAAAAATAATCGAAAAGTGTCTGTCAGTACAATGGTACCAGGTGCGCCCAGAGAAACCGGATTTGCCCATTGCCCCGGGTTCGAGTCCCCAATCTGGGAGTCTCTACCATTTTTTTTTTAAAAAAAAAACACGGATTCTCAAAATCCGCATTATAATTAAATCAGAAAAACACGGATTCTCAGAATCCGTGTTCTAAATAATAATAAAAAAAATATATTCATAGTAGCGGCGCTAATACCCAGTAGCGGCGCTACTATGCAGACAGATAAAAAAGGTTGCCCCTAGCGCTAGCTACCTAGCGTCGCTATTGTGTCGGCAGCCTTGCATGCCATCACAGTTTTCGCTCGTTCGGGCTCGTTTGGACTCAGAATTGAATTCTGTTTTTTCCTACGCGTAGCTAACAAACCTCTCTATCCAATGATGCTCACAAACCACACTTTTGCCTAGAATACAAATTTTGTGGAATTTCTAACCTTTAAAGGGTCGGAAACTTGCTCAACTTCACATTTCAGCCCCGTTTGGATTCATCCAAACCACATACTTTTCTATGAATATTTCCTGAAAAACTAACCAATCCACACTTTATATAAATCAACATACAAGAAAATAAACAACACTTGTCGTTTTTCGTCCCCATTCTATTATATAAGTCATTCAAATACAAAATATTAATCTCACCAATCCGATTCAGTCAAAATACATACAAAAAAATCTAGTTTCCCCAATCATCACGGAGTCGAGTTCGATCCTCATGAGGATGCGAATACGGGCAATGGTCCGCGAAATTTTCGGGATCACCACATCTACTGCATTGATCCCGACCCCTTCTGCGGCGCGCCCGACGATCCATTTGCATTTTAAAGCGTCTCGTTTGGGCGCGACCGGGTCCAGGCTTCGAGATGATCCTTTGCCAATGCGGAATCAAATTCCATCCCACCTGCGGCCACGTGTCAGGATTTCCAATTGGAGCAAAATTCCAATTAGAAAATTGATCAACCCAGTTCGTAGTCTAAAAGTGGGAATAGTACAACAACTTCGGTTCATCAGCCCGGTAACGACACACGGCTAATGCATGAGTGCATGGTTTCCGAAATGTCTGCCACTTCCGACATGTACAACGCTTCTGCTGATAATGAACCTTAAACCTGTTTTTCACAATTATTTATATATATAAATAAAAACAAAAAAAACTCATTTAAATGGAAAAAAAAATAATAAAAAATACATACTTGTTTTGCCCTCTTCCACTGGCGCGTAGACCGGTTATCACCGTGTACTGGGATCCATCGGCGTCTACACATTCCACCTCGTGAGTCGGTTGTCCTGTCCAACTCCAGATAAGCGGCATAAAGGTGGGTAGGAATTTGACTCCGACAGCTTCTGGACTTTTTTTGTTCCTGTTGGAACAAAACCAGAGTCTTGTCCATTGTGGCATGTACCAATGCTCTGCAGGGCAGGAACCTAACACCTTTGAGGACGTTATTGTAACTCTCTGAAATATTGGCTGTCAGAGTGCCCCATCGACGTCTGTTATCTTTGTACAGGGTCCACTTTTCAAAAGGAATTTGGAAAAGGTAATTGCATGCTTCAGGGTGACATTCCTGAAGTTGCTGTCGAGCATGCTCAAATTTGCGACGAGAACACAGTGAATCCAACCTCCAGCACAAAACCTGAACTTTTTTATGCCGATATCTTGAAACCACATTGCTCCGGAGGTGTCGAAGGCATATCCGATGAAATGCATGGGGTTCGTGCCAAGCCTCCAGTAAATCAACGGCACTCAATATGTCGTTGTCCCTATCGGAAAGAAGACATATCTCTCTGTCGGAGACAACATTGTGCAGATGTGTTAAGAAAAAAGGACCAACTAGCCGTACTTTCTTCGTCCACAATCGCATACGCGACTGACAATAGACGCTTATTCGTGGTCTGTGCTATGGCAACAAGCAGCTTCCCCTTGTACGAACCTGCTTAGTTGGACATGTTTTTGATTATCAGATAATATTGTAAGCTAGAAAATAAAAATAAATTTGCAATTAACAAGTAGCTTCCCCTTGTACGAACCTCGCAGGTGCGTGCCGTCGATGCTAATAATCGGCGGCCAAAGATGGAAGGTTCGAATGGCAGGCCCAAATGCCCAGAAGACAAATTTAAATTCTCTGTCTCAAAAATGACGAGCCATTTCCCCATCCTGCCATTCCCACTCAAGGACTGTGTGGGGATTCGCCCTTTGAAGGGCGGCAAAAAACCTGCAAATTATAAAAAGGTAACCATAAAGTTACAAACAACACGTAAATACATTTACAATTAATTTTTGCTTACTGGGAGAGTTGTGCGAAGTTTGATTCCCACGTGCCTTAAAGACGATCGATCGCTTTTTTTCTCCCGTGCCACGCTTTCTTGTAGCTCACATCGACGCTCCATGCACTTTTTACATCGGCCTGGACCATTTCCACACTGTAGTGTTGGGTTCTATTAGGAACGTCGACAATGTGCAATTCAAATCTATTGAATAATAAATCCTAACGCAGCGGAATCTATAGTTAGGATTAG